AACAACGCAGCAGGAAACAGAATTGCATTAATTGTTGATCCATGTTGCATAAAATAAAATCATATAATCATTATTGAATTGCAGACAGGAAGATTATAACTACATATAATTGAAAGATAAATTATGTGCGTGTTTGGATTTATGTCTAATTTCATCAAAAATCACGTTTACGTTGATTTTGACGTAGAAGCTTCATTAGATAGCTTTAGGTATTCACATCTTAAACATAAGTTTTAGTCACTTGGACGTGCATCCAAACATGCACTATGTCATACAGCTCAACTGAGCGGAAATAAAAAAATGTGAAGTGCAGATACTTCACAGCTTTCATATATTTAATCAGAACCAAGATGGATATCAAGAACGGTGACACAGATGCACATTCATATATACAAGTACACAGGCAATGCAATGCACTGTGATTCTGCATTAGTGAGGAAAAAAATAAAAGGCTTAATTACACTTTTGGTCCTCCTAATTTAGTGTAAGAGTAATTTTGGTCCTCATAATTTGAATTGTTTAATTTTGGTCCATAAATTTAAATAATGGGCAATTTTAGTCCCGCAAATAATTTACCATCCAAAATTTACCAGACGTTAATGATGTGAATTTTATGCTAAATAAACATTAATTATATATCATTTAATTTCTTACGTGTCAAATTATTTAATATTCAAATTTTAAAAATTTTAAATTCAAATAACATTGAAAACAAAATGAAAAAGGTATTAATATCAATCGCAGTGAGAATTTTTCACTAAAATAGAATTTTTAAATTTTCTTTTTTTTTTGCGTTTTGGATCTGAGCATGGTGTAAAACTGGATCCAAAACGGCCGGTTCTCCTTTCAGAACAGTCTGTTCTCCTTTCAGAACGGCCCGTTCTCCATGCAGCACTTACAGAACGGCCCGTTCTCCTTTTAAAACGGGCCGTTCCGGATGCAAAAATACACAATGACGAGTGGATCAAAATGGGTCGTTCTGCTTGGACGTTCCAGTTTTAAAATTAACAGACTACACGTGCAAGCAGAACGACCCGTTCTGCTTGAAGAACGGGCCGTACACACAACCTGAACTACAAAGAGAAAAGAAAAAAAAAATTAAACACTACTCAGAATTCGGTTTCCCGGGAACCGAATTTTGAGCATGAACAGTAAAAGGTGCTACTTCTGTAAATAAATTGGAACAGGTGCTGTTTTGGTAAAAAAAAAATTTAAAAATTTTATTTCAGTAAAAAATTCTCGCTGTGATTGTTGGAAAGAGATGATACTGGTGGCGATTGTGGCAGAGGTGTTGGAGAAGTACACAGCGTTGCTGGCGAGGGTGCTGGTGAAGAAACAAAGGGAAGGGTACGGAGGGTTAAAAAACGAATTTGAATTTAAAATTTTTAAAATTTAAATATTAAATAATTTGACACGTAAGAAATTAAATAATATATAATTAATGTTTATTTAGCATAAAATCCAGATTATTAACGTCTGTTAAATTGTGGATGGTAAATTGTTTGTGGGACTAAAATTGCCCATTATTTGAATTTATGGACCAAAATTAAGCAATTCAAATTATGAGGACCAAAATTGCTCCTACACTAAATTAGGAGGACCAAAAGTGTAATTAAGCCAAAATAAAAAATGTGGAACTCACAGATAATTATAGAGCTCTGCCAACATACATGCATTTTGTTTTAAATGCATTTACATGAACATACTTTCAACATGCATTTTTTTTAAAATGCATATACACAGATAAATGCCTTCATAAATGTGTCATGACTGTATTTTCATCATTTTGCATGTAGCAAGAGTGAACTACAACAAAACCCTGCATTTCCACAAATAGGCAATGACTATTCAAACAAGGGAAAATGTATCTATTATATTGCATATATTCCTACCCTTTGCCAAGTACTTGTTGAAGTATATTTATTTTACTTAGTTGTATGGCTACCTGATTTTTAGAAACAAGGACAGATGTCCCAATGTTTTCAAGGAGCATAACCTGCTCAGCTACAGTTCCTGCAATTCATTTAAAGGGAACCATGTCATAGAGCAACCTCACCAATTCGGTGTAAGATTATTCAAAAACATCATTGAGCATAAGACACTTGAGTAACAAAAGCTATGTATCAGGAACATGGATATACAACAATGACAAACTATTTTCACAGTAGTATCAGAAAGCATGCCTATAAGCAGTAAAAATTCAAATCAGTGGTGGCGTTTTCTGCCTCATATTTCCCCAGTTGAACATCGTTGATCACATCATAGCAGACAAATTCACTATTTATAAGAAAAAGAATAACTACACCACAACCATGCAGACAATATTAAGAACAGATGGGCAGGCCTTGCTATTAAAGATATAATAACCATTCATTGGCCTCTTATGCTAAGTCTAGATTACTGATAATCGATTGTTTTGGCATTCTGCAAATGGTACAAAGTAGTGGCTATCTGTGTGGGGAAATATACAGGGTGACTTTTCCTACCAACTTTTCATATACTTGCATAAACTAAGTGAAGTATGTGCACAATCTGGACCAACGTTTTAGTGAGATTAAAGTGTAGTCCAGTGAGTTGCATGGAAATTTTTGAGGGGCATGAGTGTGAGAGATTCTTGTCTGCCGTGTGTTTGGTTAACATGTTGGAATGGAATCCAATCGGACACAGGATTCTAATCTATGTGTGCTGCATTTTTAAAAACAGAATACAATAAAATATAGTTAAAAAATGGCACACCTTGATTGCACTAAATGGATTGGAGCATGATAGGTTACAACCGGTGATAGAAAGATTTAAGATTGAACACACTGAAAAGAATTTGGGCATGAGCCTCTGTATTATTGAGTAATTCTTCTGGTCAATACAACCAGAGAAATACAATGAGATATTAGAGAGATCTCTCATCTCCTAACAACTTCTAAACAACTTCCTAACTCCTCACTAACTCCCTTCCTATAGACTATTCGGTTACAATTGTGTTCCCCTCTATGCCTTACATACATCCTCTTAATCATTGGTCTCCTATCAGAATTAAGGGGGAGCAAAACCTTTCTAAATTCTAATTCATTTGGTTTCATCCTATTTTGTGTGTGAACCAAATAATACCCTAGTATACATATCTCGATTCTCGAGTGTACTAAGCCAATAAATTATTGACATTTGATTAGTTCCCCAATGAACGTAACATTTAACCATTAATGATGAGTCAATAATCCACGACAAAACTTAAATGAAGTTCCTTACATGCTTTTGATGTTATTCTCCAATATTTGTAGTTTCACTTCAAAAATCTGCATAATAAAGATTTGTATTAACAGTCAACATAGGTTATGGAGGTGAAACTTCAATTATGATTGGAGAATACAACCAAATGCACTTAAAAAGCTTCATCTAAGGTTAACCTAGTTGTTGAGGATTGAAGTAGTATGTACAATATCTTAGGTTTGAACTTTATCGTTGTCATTGTAATTTCAATGGATAAAAAAAATAAAAAATAAAGAACTACATCTAAGGTTTGTCCAGTACTTTTGTTGAACATAATGGTATATATAAAAAGGAACAACTCTCATCTTATAAGCTAGCTTTGGATTTTAGTTGGACCAAAACTCAAATTATAAAGATAATATTAGAAACTATCTTGGTGGTGGTTGTTGAGTCTATAGAGTCACCCACTATCATGTTGTTATCAACTAATCTCAAATGTCTAGTTCTATAAATTTCACACTCAAAATATCTAATCTTCGGCGTAAGAAGGGTTTATTGAAAGCTCTACATATATAAATGAGAGTAACTCTCACCCCATGAGCTAACTTTTGATGTTGAGTAAGGTCCAAACATCATAATTGTAGTTCCCTATAGATAAACTATAATAAAAAAACAAAAAAAATGCATTAAAGGTCAACATAAGTCATGCACATGAAACTTCAAATCTGAATTTCTGATACAAGAATAAAACCAAAAAAAAAAAAAAAAAAAAAAAAAAGAACCCCATCTAAA